ACTTTATTGTTTTTTTTTAAATAGTATTTTATTTTTTCCAGTTAAAGAAAATTTTTAATGTTCATTTAAAAAAAATTTTTGAGTTCCAAATTTTTCTGTCTCCCTCCTTCCCCTCCCCCCCACCTAAAAGGGTAAGCAATTTGATATAGGTTATATATGTATAATCATGTAAAACATATTTCCATATTAGTCATGTTGTAAAAGAAGAAACAGAACAAAAGGAAAAAAAAACCATGAAAAAATAGTATGCTTCAATCTGCATTCAGACTCCATCAGTTCTTTCTCTGGATGTGGATAGCATTTTCCATCATGAGTCCTTTGGAATTGTTTTGGATCATCGTGTTGCTGAGAAGAGCTAAGTCATTCATAATTTATCATGTTGCTATTACTGTGTACAACATTCTTTTGGTTCTACTCTTTTCACTTTGCATCAGTTCATTTAAGTCTTTCCAGGTTTTTCTAAAATCTGCCTGCTTATCATTTCTTATAGCACAGTAATATTCTATTTCATTCATAGACTACTTGTTCAGCCATTCCCTAATTGATGGGCATCCCCTCAATTTTCAACTTTTTGCCACCACAAAAAACAGCTGCTATAGATACTTTTGTTTTTGTTATTGTTTTTCTTTTAGTAAGGCAATTGGGGTTAAGTGACTTGCCTAGGGTCACACAGCTAGGAAGTATTATGTGTCTGAGGCTGGATTTGAACTCAGGTCCTCCTGACTCCAGGGTCGGTGCTTTATCCACTGCGCCACCTAGCTGCCCCAAAAGTGTAATTTTTTTTTTTTTGCTTTTTTGATGAGGCAATCAAGGTTAAGTGACTTGCCTAGGGTCACACAGCTAGTTAAGGGTCAAGTGTCTTAGGTCAGATTTGAACTCAGGTCCTCTTAACTCCAAGGCTGGAGCTCTATTCACTGCACCACCTAGCTGCCTTGCTATAGATATTTTTGTACATGTAGGTCCCTTTCCCTTTTTATGATCTCTTTGGGATACAGACCTAGTAGTGAATACCTCTAGACTTTGACAAATGGATCTTTGATCTCACTGATGGGGCTATTGACTCCAATAGTGCGGATTTCAGATCCATCGACTCTTATCCCAAGTGATTCTGGTTCATGCCTTCCCATCAGCCACCCACAGAACATCCACCCAGGCACCTTTAAAGATTCTTCTTGGAAACTTCTTTTGCTAGAGGACTCTAATCCAATTTCCTCCCAATTTAACCCTGAAGTCCTATATCTTGACTCTCCATTTTCTAACTTTCCCATCCACACAAATGATGAAGAAATACCAACATGAAAGTTATGGAATTGTGCAGCTATAAGAGGTAAAAGAATTCACCTGGACTCACATGAAATTTTTCTCTTCTCCAGTCCCATTGCATTTACTGTCTGTCCTCATCCTGGAATCTGACTATATTCTATCTTTCATTGTCTGATATACATACACATTTTCATGTACACATTTGTGTGGTATACACACACCTATACATATTTATACTATTAAGCTATTAAAGCTTAAAACTGCTCTAGGACTTTTGGGACATCTTGTGTATGTAAGTGCCTTATTTCTCTCAATAACGCTTTAAGTTCATTGAGGGCAGGGATCATGTCATAGACTGATATCTTTCACATTGCCTAACAGTCTTAGGCACACTGGACGTGCTCAGAAAATATTTACAGAATTTGATACCCTCTGGCTCTGAGCAGAATTACTCCTAAACTAATTGAGACAGAACTATAATTAGTCTGAGATCTGGAAGAGATTTTGCAAATCATCTAGACCCAATCCTTTGTTTTACAGATAAGAAAACCTGGGTTGGAGGAGGGCAGGGGGTTACATACCCAGGACAGAGTCACTCACCCTCTAAACCCTTGGAAAGATTGGAGATGAGTTGGGGACACTTTAAGTAGAACTTCAAAGGCTTTCCAATAACCAGCAAGATGTATGACTCTGGGAGGTGGCCCCAATAAAACCATGAGGGATCAGACCCCAACACTGTGTATATAAAAGGGCTTCTGCAGAGATAATGGAAGAGAAGGGATATGGGGAGGCATGGCCGTCTATTGGGAAACATACCATGCTCTGAATTAAGTGGTACACGTTCTGGATGACAGACAAACAATACAGGAGTTCAGAGAAGAGCTAGACAAGAAACTAGAAAATGAGAAGACTCAATTAACGGTTATAGATGTTGAATTTGGCTTGAGGCAGTATTCCATTTAACCCTTCCTTGAAATCTCTACACTATTCTTTCCCTCCCCCTGCCCCGCCCTTAATTTGAAGCTATATATCATGGCTATCAATGGCCTTTTTCCACCCTCTCATTTTGTTTGCAAATTTTCTAGGCATTTCTGTATGTTGATGTTTTAAATTCCTCTTAAAAGAATATAAGTAAATTCTTTTGTAATATGGCTAATATGGAAATGTTTTGTAGGATTGCATGTATATAATCTATATCAAATTGCTTGCTTTCTGAACAGGGAGGGGAGAGAGAGAATTTGGAACTCAAAATTTTTAAAAGACAAATGTTAAAAATTTTGTTTTGTTGAGAAAAGAAAAAAAAAGAATAAGTAAGAAATGCAGACTTTTAACAACCATACACATTGTTCACATTTACTAATCAGAGAAAGGTAGATATTACCTTTTCTACTTCTGTAAAGTTCAGTTAAATTTTATCTGGCATAATTCCTGTCTTGGACCCTGAGAAACCAGCTGTGCTGCTTGACCATTCACATGGCTTGGATAAATGGAAATCTATGACTCTTTCTTCTTGTGAGAAGGAAGATCTACCTGAACTGGCTACCTACCCTTCCACTGATCTCTTAGGACTTCTAGGTATTTAATTGGCCCTGAAGATGAACTTTCTGAATTATTTCCTCCTCGTAGAGTGACCTTGAAAGCAGAAACTATCTTTTTCAGTTTGTCATTCTAGCTCTGAGCACAACACTTGGAATGTAGTGAGTGTTTAGTAAATACTTTTTTTCACTCATTCATTAAAAAAAAAGAAATGGGGGAAAGACAGACAAGGTCAGAGTTTTGTCTAGCAATGATGTTTATGTGATAGAGGGTATTGTGTTGGTGAGAAGGGAATTAATAATTCACTCTTGCATGCCTCCCCCTACTCCTCCTTGTCCTCCTCAACTCTTTTGTGGGTAGTTTCTTCCTTCTTATTGTCAACTATCTCAGTTCCTCCCCTTGGTGTGATTTAGTTTTTGTTTCAAACCCAATATTGGAAAGAGAAAATTGGGAGAGGAAGGGCTTAAGGTGGCCATCTTACCAATACCAGTTCACAGCTCACTCACAACTTTCTCTCTCCTCTTCTCCCCAAAGTGTTAGGTTCATTTTGTGCCCAGGATCCTCCATGTCCATGCTGTTCTCTGCTTTGGGAAAGCTATAAAAATAGAAATCAATAATTTCTCTTCTGTTCATCTCTGAGCTCCCATTGTGCCAAGAAAGGTCCCAGCAGTAATAAAAATCAATTTATCTCTCTCCTTGTATAGCCCACCACCCATTGCCTCCCTCTCACTTACCTTTTAGCAATGAAACACATCCATATCAGTAATGCTGTGGTTAACCACAGCTTTATCTTAATACTGGCTTAAAAGACTATTTTCATTCCTATAAAAATTAAAAAAAACAACAACAACAAACCTAGAGATAAGCTTTGGAACACATATGCTCTCTCAGGAAGGGATAAGGGAGAGTTGGGAAGGGAATCACCATCTTGGATCTGCTCTTCTGAGTAAGTTCAGCAAACGGAAGGTCTGTCTAGACACTCAGCTTGGCTCCAGTCTGGGGCATCATGATGACATCATTGCTAAAGTTCTGCTTCTGTTTCCATGGGGACTTCTTTCCATGGCTTCTGCTGTCCTGGTCTCTTACTCTTCTGCTTCCAGTCTCTAGTGAGGCAACCACCCAGGGCCCAGGGTACAACAGAACAGTGACTCCCTGCTTACTCCTGATCTCTGGTTCTCCTGCCTCTTGAGTGACTCCTCCCCCTAGTTCTCATCCTCATCCTACTCTTCCCTTAGAAATAGAAGGAGCTCAGTTCTCTACCTTCCTCACAGGGTTGCTATGTTCTAGGAGGCACTTAATAATGTTTAGTCCCTTCCCACCAGCAGACTCAGTAGAGTAGCCCTGGAGAATTTCCTAGCGCTGGTAGTCAATGACTTCCAATGACCTGTTCTGCTAGAAAGATGAAATAACTTATTTTAATAGTAAGTTGAAGAGCTTGGACTACAAATTGAGTGCTCTTTGCATTGTACCTGGGGGAGAAACTTGGGGATTCAATTCAATTTATTAAGTGCCTGCCACATTCTTTTTTTTTTTTTAAGGCAATTGGGGTTAAGTGACTTTCCCAGGGTCACACAGCTAGTGTCAGGTGTTTAGTCTGAGGTTGGATTTGAACACAGGTCCTCCTGACTGCAGGGCCGGTGCTCTATCCACTGCTCCACCTAGCTGCCCCATAGTGCCTGCCACATTCAAGGGATTATGCTAGGCACTGGGGATAGTCACTAAACATTTATTAAGCACTATATACATATATGTACATATATGTACATAGATATATATAAATATATATACACACACACATATATCTATACATATGTGTATGTATGTATATATAGATATAGATATAGATATAGATATAGATATAGATATCTGTTCCAAGCCCAGTGCTAAGCACTAGGAGTACAAAAAGAGGCAGAAGACAGTTCCTGCCCTCATTGACTGTACATTGTTCAGAACAGGAGCTGGGACAGGTATAGGGCCTGTAAATTTCAGGCAGAGGAGATTGCTAACAACTTAGGGGGATTGGGAAAGGCTTCTGATAAGAGATGGTTCCTGAAACCACTCCTTAAAAAGAAACTAGAGAAAATCAGGAAGAGGTATTTTGAGTTTGCCAGTGTTTATTCAGTACTCATAGACTATTGAAAATTCTACTTTGAATTAAATCGTTAATGTAGATTTATTTTTGTTGTTTTTGTCTTTTACAGAAATGGGATTACAAGAAATTCAGAAAAAGATCAAAGATGCTTTTGAGGTGTTTGACCATGAATCTAATGACACCGTGGATGTTAGGTTTGGAAATTTTTTCTTACATAAAAATTATATTAGATAGAATACTGTTTAAGTCCTAAATTACTTAAGTAACAAGTAAAATGTAAGGAAACCTTTTCCTTATTCATAGAATATGTAAGATTTGTTATGCCATAGCAGTAATTTTCCACTGTTGGTTTTATTAAAAGGTAGAAATTGAATACTTGCTTAGTATTATTTTCTATACGTAGAATCATAGAATTTTAGCCTTGAAAAGGACCTGAGGGAGCTGAAGTATAAACATTCACCATTACCATTATTTGTGGTGTATATCCTCAGCAGGGTCCTCACCGTTAGTAGATAGTCTTTCTACCCAAACCTTGTTAACTCCTAATCTCACTTTTCACAGAGACTTGCATATCTTTTGTTCTCTCTTCACCGCCAACCGCATCCTAAGCATCCCACACATATAGAAGATGACCTTACCTCCTGCATCCCTGAGAAGACTGAGGCCATATGACCTGACCTAGACTCCCTTAGCTCCCCTTCCTCTATGCCCTGGAGCTTCTCGGCATCATTATCTGCTTTATCTTCCTCCAGATGCAAAAAAAAGAAATGTTCCCCATACCCCTCACTAAGGCTGTTTTCTCAACCTGTAATATAGTGGGCTGAGGCTGACTGAGGCTGATCCCCTGATAGTTTAAGTAAAATATTGAAACAAAATTTAGGTCATTTAGCAGTTAACAAAAGGATATGTACTTAGCCATAGTATAGAAAGGATATAGTACTTTTCTGGTCAACAAGGCGGGGTGTGGTGACTAAGGAAGTCTTGGGACATCTGTCAACTCCACATGGGTAAGACTTTTTATGCCTTTAGCTAATGAAGGAACCAAATAAGTATGGCCTGAGGCCACTAGGATGCTTCAGTCCATAGTTAGGTGGCTTGAACCTTAGTTCCTTAGGCTAAGAACTACCCTAACCAAATGGGGGCGGTGTAGAGAGGATAGAGTATCACATGTTACCTCAGTCCTATTTCCTTTTGCCTTCTCTAGGACTTGGCTTTAGCCATCATCTCCTTTTTCTCAATCATCTTCAATCTCTCCCCCATAGCACCTCATTTGTTTCCAAGTACGCTCAGATTTCCTCAAACCAAAAATGAGCCTTCTATTGAGCCTTCCAGTCTCATCTTTCTTCATTATTAAACTTCTTGAAAAGATGCCCTTATATCCAATGCCTCCACTTCCTCACCTCTCTTACAAATGGGCCCCTTTTCCAGTTGCTCAATGGAAACTTCTTTTTCAAATAGCTATTTTTTAGGTTTCACACTTCCTGTCTTTTCTGAGTTTTTGACACTATCAAGCACTTCCTCCTTTAAAAGAAAAATTTTTCCAACTAACAAGCATAAAAATAAAGAAAAAAAATTAACATTTATTTTCTTTCCCTCTCACCCCCCTCCCCAAAATGGAAAAAGAAAAGAAAAGAAAAACAAAATCCTTATAACAAATGTATATAATCAAGGAAAACAGATTCATGTGTTGGCCTTATCCAAGAAAAAGTATGTCTTAACTGGCATCTTGAATCCATCTCCTTTCTTTCAGTAGGTAGGTAACATGTTTCTTCATGTCTTCTTAAATCATCCCCTTCTATAAGATAATCTTTTTTTTTTTTTTGGTCTCCAGATGCTTTTCTGATTCTCCTCCTAGTCTCCTTTTCTGTCTTCTTTGCTGGTTCCTCATCCTTTCCTGAGCCTTTAATGAGAGTGTTGCCCAAGTGGTTAGTCAGTCAACAGGCATTTTAAACACTTACTGTGTGCCAGGTGTTGTGCTAAGCACTGGTGATACAAATATGAGCAGAAGCAGCCTCTTCTTTTCTCTTTCCCTCCTAGTAGACTGTAAGTTTTTTGAAGGCAGTGAATTTTAAAAAAATGTCCATGTAGCCACATTTCCTTGCACATAGTAGGAGCTTAATAACTGATAGTTGAATTTGTTTTTTTATTAGTTTTTATTGATAACTTCTGTTTTTTACTTCATCATAGTTTTCCTAAATATTTCTCCCCCACTCCCTCCCAGAGAACCATCCCATATAAAAATAGTTGTTTGTTTTTTTAAGAGAGGAAAAAAATCAGTATAGCTGATCAGTACATTGAAAAAAATCTGAAAATCTGTGCAATGTGTAACAACTGTGGACCTCTTACATCCACAAAAGGGTGAATTGGGAGTGTCTTCTCATATCTCTTCATTTTGTCCTGCTTGATTGTTGTAATTTTGTTTACATTCATTTTTTATTTTTTGATGTGTAGTTCTTTCCAAATACATTGTTGTAGTCAGTGTGTATATTGTTCTCTTGACTCTCTTTACTTCACTCTACATCAATTCATACAGATCTTTCGCTGATTCTCTGTAATCATTGCATATGTCATTTCTTATAGCACAGGAGTATTCCATTACATCCAAGTACCACAATTTGTTTAGCCATTGCCCAATTGATGGCCTTTGTTTCCAATTCTTTGCTATCATAAGAAGTGCTGCTATAAATGTTTTGTTTTATACGGGCACTTTCTTCTTCTTCTTGACTTCCTTGGGGTATAAACCCAGTAATGGTGTCTCTGGTTCAAAGAGTATGGACATTTTAGTCACTTTATTTGCATAATTCCAAATTGGTTTCCAAAATGGTTGTACCATTTCACAGCTTCATCAACAATGTATTAGTGTGCCTATCCTTCCACAACCCTTCCAGCATTGACTATTACCATTTTTTATTCACTTCACCAATTTGGAGGATGTGAGGTAAAACTTTGGGATTGTTTTGATTTGCATTTCTCTTATTATTAGTGATCTGGAACATTTTTTCATGTGGTTGTGAATACTTGGCAGTTCTTTTCAGAATTGTTTTTTCATAGCTTTTGACCATTTATCTATTGGGGAAGGGCTGTTAGTCATATGTATTTATTAATTGTTTATATATCTTGGATACCAAACCTTTATCAGAGAAATTTAATACAAAGATTTTCCCCCATTCGACGCTTCCTTTCTTATCCTAGGTGCATTAATTTTGTCTGTGCAGAAGCTTTTCAATTTCACTAAATCAGAGTTATCTTTTTTATCTTTTATAATTGCCTCTATCCTTTGTTTGGTTAAGGATACATCTCTTATCTGCAGCTGTGACAGATACATGATCTTTTAATTTTTTGATACTATGAGCTTTAATATTAAGGTTATGTATCCATTTAGAATATATTTTAGAATGTGGTATAAGGTCTTGGTCTAAGCCTAATTTCTGCCAGATTGCTTTCCAGTTTTCTCAGCAGTTTTTATCAAATAAGTTTTTTTTCCTAGATAATTTATGCTTTCTGATTCTCCCTTGTCTGGTCTGTTTTATTAATCTTTTATAGTTGAATTTAATTCCACGGAGCCAGCTATCACCTCTTTGCAAATAACTCCCAAATATATTCTCTAGTCTTTACCTTTTGTAAGCTTCAGATCCACTTTTCCAACTAGCTACCTCTCCATCTGGATGTGCTATTAGTACCTTAAACTGAAATATCCCAAAATGAGCTCCTTGTCCATCCCCTTCTAAACTTATCTGTCCTCATTTCACCATATATTTGTGGCCACCAGTATTGATCTATATTCTTCCATGTTTGTAACCTTAAGATTATCTTTGGCTTTTCCTTCTGTCTCATCTTTAATATCCCAGCAGTTACCAGAGCCTGTCAATTCTACCTCCATAGCAGCTCTCAGATCTGTGTCCTCTCTTTTCTTACCATCACAGCTATAATGCAGGCCCATCATTATCATACTCTTGGATTAATACAGTACCCTTCTTATAGGTCTTACTGCCTCCCCTTTTTCTACTTTATTCTACTGCCAAAACTGTCTTTCTTGTGCATATATCTATCTGGTCATGTTATTCCTTCACTTAAAAATATTTAGTAGTTCCTTATTGCCTCCTGAGTAAAGGTTTTCATGCTTTTGCTTGTATTCTTTCTTACACCTAGAAAGGCTTCCCTCCCTTCACCTATTGAATTTCTACTTATTCTTGAAAGCTCAGCCTAATGATGCATCCTCCATGAAACCTTCCCTGACTCCTTCCATTGTTTATTTATTTATTCCTAGTTTTCAATATTCACTTTTATAAGATTTTGAGTTCTAAATTCCACCCCCTCCCTCCCCAAGACAGCATGTAATCTGATATAGGCTATACATGTACAATCATATTAAACATATTTCCACATTAGTCATGTTGTAAAGAAAAATCAGAACCAAAGGGAAAAACCACAAGAAAGAAAAAACAAACCAAAAAAAGAGAGAAAGTAGTATGCCTTGATCTTCATTCAGACTCCATGGTTCTTTCTGTGGATGTGGATAGCGTTTTCCATCTTTAGTCTTTTGGAATTGTCTTAGATCATTGCACTGTTGAGAAGAGGTAAATCTATGAAAGCTGGTCATTGCACAGTGTGGCTTTTACTGTGTACAATGTTCTCCTGGTTCTGCTTACTTCACTCAGCATCAGTCCATACAAGCCTTTCCAGGTTTTTCTAAAGTCTACCTGCTCATCATTTCTTATGGAACAATAGTATTCCATTTCATTCCTATACCACAACTTGTTCAGCCATTCCCCAGTTGATGGGCATCCCCTCAACTTCTAATCTTTTGTCACCACAAAAAGGGCTGCTATAAATATTTTTGTACCTGTGGGTCTTTTTTCCATTTTTTTTTTTTTTTGGTGAGGCAGTTGGGGTTAAGTGACTTGCTTAGAGTCACACACCTAGGAATTATTGTGTGTCTGAGGCCAATTTTGAACTCAGGTCCTCCTGAATCCTGGGGTAGTGTTCTATCCACTGTGCCACCTAGCTGCCCCACCTTTTCCCATTTTTATGATCTCTTTGGGATACAGCCCTAGAAGTGCTATTGCTGGGTTAAAGGGTATGCACAGTTTTATAGCCCTTTGGGCATAGTTGACCCCTCCCATTGTTAACCATCTACCTTAGACCTTATACAGCTAGGTGGGGCAGTGGACAGAGTGCTGAGTCTCATCTTCCT